CCTGAGACAACAGTCAAATGGTTAAAAAAAAAAAAAAAAAAAGGCACACAAACCAAAGATCTGAGTTGGGCCAGCTGTGTCATTTCAAGCAAATATACCGGGTTGAGTTGTGTCCTTCGAAAAGATATATCCAGGCCGGGCGCGGTGGCTCAAGCCTGTAATCCCAGCACTTTGGGAGGCCGAGGCGGGTGGATCACGAGGTCAAGAGATCGAGACCATCCTGGTCAACATGGTGAAACCCCGTCTCTACTAAAAATACAAAACATTAGCTGGGCATGGTGGCGCGTGCCTGTAATCCCAGCTACTCAGGAGGCTGAGGCAGGAGAATTGCCTGAACCCGGGAGGCGGAGGTTGCGGTGAGCCGAGATCGCGCCATTGCACTCCAGCCTGGGTAACAAGAGCGAAACTCCGTCTCAGAAAAAAAAAAAAAAAAAAAAAAGAAAAGATATATCCAAGTCCAGCCCCTACCACCTGTGAATGTGACCTAATCAGGAAACAGAGTCTTGGCAGATGTAATCAAGTTAAGGATCACTCTCGATTTCAGGTGGGCCTTAAATCCAAAGACCGGTATCCTTAAAAAAGAAAGAAATGCTGGATGCACTTAAAAAGGAAAGGAATGATGGGTGTGGTGACCCACGTCTGTAATCCCAGCATTTTGGGGGGCCAAGGCAGGGGATCACTTGAGGCCAGGTGTTCGAGATCAGCCTAGCTAGCATGGTGAAACACCACATCTACTAAAAATACAAAAAAAAAAAAAATTAGCCAGACCTGATGGTGCACGCCTGTAATCCCAGCTAGTTGGGAGGCTGAGGCAGGAGAATCACTTGGACCTAGGAGGCAGAGGTTGCAGTGAGTCGAGATCACGCCACTGCATTCCAGCCTGGGCTACAGAGCAAGACTCTGTCTCAAAAATACAAAATGAAATAGAAAAAGAAAGAAGCAGGAGAGTAAAGACAAAGAGACGGGAGGATGGCAGGCAGGTGAGATGGAGGCATAGGCTGAAGTGATGTTGCCACAAGCGAAGGAACGCCAGGAGCCACCAGAAGCTGGAAGAGGCAAGGACCGGTTCTCCTGCAGCGCCTTCGAAGGGAGCATGGCCCTGCCAACTCCCCGATTTTAAACGTCTGGCCTCCAGAACAGCCAAACAATAATGTTGTGTTGTTTTAAGCCAGCAAGTGTGTGGTAATTTGCTAAGGTAACCTAGTAAACTAATACAGCAAATACCTTAACTCTCTAAGGTTCTCTTTTAACACCAGTAAAATGAGGATCATCATGCTCAACCTTCCTTCTTCACTGTCATGAGGAGGATTCATGATAATATCTGTTAGCATAATTTGGGAACAAAAAAAGCTATTAAGAGGCCAGAAATGATCACGATAGTAATACTGTAAGATTATTGTTTAGTGGCATCTCCAACAGCTGTGGAAAGTCGTCGCACCCAAGACTGGGAAGACAAATGCATCAGGACCAGCCCAAGCCCATCCTCGCTACTGAGTTAATATTTTACCAAGTCGATTAAATCTGCAAATGATAGCAGAGGTAATTATCACTTTCTTTGAAAAGAAAATGAAATACTCCAATCTATTTTAATCATGTCTGCTCCATGCATGCAGGGAATTAAGACAAGGCTGTTCAGGATACATGAAGGGTCCTCGGGGCACTGCTGGAGCGTTTCTGTGCCGTGGGTCTACTCTGGGACCTCTGGGACCTCTTGCCATTGCCTAAATTGTATCTTGAGATTCAGAATCTAAGCTTCTTTTCTTCCTAATTCATTCTTTATCTCTAAGACAATCTCTCTGATTCTTGCGCGGATTTTTGGACAGACAGCTCTAATTTTCTCTGTAAGGGAAAAAAGAATCATCTTGCCATAACCAGAAACTTCTGAGAGCACTGCACAACACCACATCAAATTTTTCCAACCTGTGCCACTGAAACTGTGCTGGCCACTCCAAGGCAAATCGTGGAAGATGCTTCTAACTCGCTCCATAAGAGGCACATCCCCTAGACTCAGGAACAGCAAAGATCCAGGGGCTTGGCCAAGACCATCTCCCTCATCCCACAAAAACAAATGAGAGGAGATAGAGGAAGGATCTTGGTGCATTTTAGGAACTCTGAGACAGTAACATGTTTGCTTTTTTTCCTTTGATTCCATGCAAGGAACCTGGCATCTTGAGAGAGGCTTCTGGAAGCTGAGCATGTTGCCTGAGCATGTAGGTGTACGCCTGAGTCAGGGAAGAGAAAGAGCACAGTCTTTGGAAACAGCAGATCGGGTAGTGATAATACTAAAAATCGTAACACTCATTCCCAGATGTACCACTTACTGGCCATGTGATCTTGAACTAGCAGTTGAACTTGGCCAAGCCTCAAATCCCTCATTTGTAACACTGGTTATACTGATAACTCCCTGTGAAGTTGTTCCAAGGATTAGACAGAACCTCACACATGTTAGGTGCTCAAGATGTGCCTCTTCCTTCTCCTTCTGTCCTACTGGAAAGGTCATGGACACTTAGCCCTTCCATTCTTACAGCAAAGGTCCTCTGCTTGGGGAGGGGCTGGTTTGGGTACAGCAGAGGTCCTTAGTGACAGAAAGAAACATACTAAGGAATTGCTACACGCCCTCTTCCCCTTCTGTCCCTGCAGAGGGTCACTCAAAGCCTCACACTTCTGGCCTGTGGCTTTCCTGGCTCCACAACACACTGAGCCCTTTCTCCTCGAGGACCAAAATTCTTTCTTCCTGGAAATACCCAACCCATCCCCACGCCCCAGCCCACAGGCTCCATTGAGCAGACCCTGGCAGTCTAGATGGCTCATGGCAGATGGTGCCATGTGGACTAATCAGGAAGTCAGACAAGAAAATACTACCCTTTCTTGCATTTGCCAGGAACTGGGATTGTTTGGATTTTAATCATAGCCTCAGCTAAGAGCCAACACAGGGCCCCTCCAGCCAAAAGATAAATTTTCCTCTCTCAAGATTCAATTCTTCCTCAAAAAATAGACCCCTACCAGGGTAATTGCTCCTTAGAGAGGGGGCTTCTTTATTCTCCAGTATAATCTTTACTTAGTTAACAATATGACAGAAATAAAATACTCAGTGGACACCGTGGCACTCACACACTAACTCACACTGGAGGGAACGTCTTCATTTCCCCATAAGTCACATCTAGCTCACTGGTACATTGATCCCAAGCAAAGATGAATGCAGAATCCCATGATCCTCTAAGAGAAATCTGACATTTTCTTTAAACATATATCCACAGAACAACTGTTTCTAAAACTCCACGAAACAGGTCACCAGGGCAGCAGCACATCATGATTTCACATCCAATAATTTTTTTAGAAAGAGCACTGAACATTTTCTCAATAATTCAGCCAACAGCTGACCCTTGATGTCCCCTGGAGAGACGCCATCCCTGGCCTCCTGAAGATGGAAGGGCTAGGGGTTCCAGAATAATTAAATGCAAGACACCCAAGAAAGAGATCCCTCAAGAACCTCAGTCAGTTCTAGGGTAACTTAAGAAAAACCGCCATCATGTGCTTTTTGAAAATTATGGTAGAATAGATCCTAGTGTTAGAAACAGACTGAAAACACTGGGTGATGGTTGAGCACAGTGGTCAAGGCTTTGGGTCCACACACTGCCACTATTCCGTGAGTGACTTTAAACAGGATACTTAACCTTGCTAAGTATCTCAGTGTCCTCCAAAGTGAAGTGAGAGTAATAATTCCTACCTTATGGAATTGCCATAAGGATTAAAGGAAATAAAGGATACAACTTAATAGATTGCTTGGCACCATGCCTGGCGCAGAGAAAGAACTCAGAAATCAGTGCTCATAGTAAATCGTAGCCATGTTAATTTATCTTTTCCACCTACAGTACACAAGGTCATCATGGGGTGATAGGCTACTAAGATGCTTGATGAAGGCATCAAGAGTTGGGTCAGTGAAGGTAAGGTTTTGACTCTGATGAACTCAGGTCTTGCTCGGTGAAGGGAGAGCAGGCTGAAAGACCAGCAGCACAGGCAGAGGTCCAAGGTCATTGCCTCTTGCTAAAGAGAGTAAAGCAATCCGCATTCAGTGAATTTGGATCTGCGTCACCAATAAGAGGGAACACATGAGTGGTGCCTCTGGAACCCTGACCCCCTAACTTGATCCATGCCTCAATTCCTTTCAATTTATTCCTTGATTTATACCCTCAACATAATATGATGTCCTTCATGCACAGAGATGACCCCGATGACTCACTCATCAACATGAGTTATTTTTTTCCAGCAGTGGTCACGAATGTTCACTCATCCATCCTACATTTGTTTGTGCAGAATGGTTGGCTGGAATAAGAGTGCCCTGATCAGCCTTGGACCACAGCAAGACTAAGCAGTCCACAAGCAGATTGAAAAAAACATATAACGCCTCCCCCTACCCCTTGGCATGCCTATACTCAAGCCAAATAAGCTGAAGAAGATTATGAGCAGTGAAAACGCATGTAATTTGAAGTCAGAAGGTATGGGTTCAAGTCCCAGCTTGGCCAGTCCCTAGAAATGCAGTCTTAGCTGAGTCTCACATGTCTTTCTAGGGCTCAGAATCCTCACCCATAAAATGCAGAGAATAATAATATCTACCTCTTATGACTCTTATGATGATAAATCTAAGGTTATATAAATGAAAACATGCCTAATAGTCATAAGAATGTTATCATAAATTGATATTCTACATTATGAATATTAATACGATTATAACTAATTACCTACCAATCACAAAACTAAGTCCTAATAAAAGAAGAGGCTCTTGTCTTCTGAAATAGGTTGTGCCCAGAAAGAGCATCAGAAGTCAAGCAATGGGGTTAATTGCTCTCACTGAACATGGTACACTGCATGTCATGCAACCCAAGTAGGCTCTTCAGGTATATGTGGGCTCAGCCTTCAGGTAGTTCCACTGCTTGCCACTTGTCCCCATCCACCCATTACCAGCGTTTCAGTACCTGGACAGTTTTCAAAACCAAACTTACAATTCCCGAAGACTCAGCGTCTGGAAGAGCTGCCACGAGAGTGTGGTGAGCCGGTTACTTGACAGGTTTCTGCAAGATCGACAAATAAAGGGAAACCTTTAAAACAAATCTGGCACAAAGCATGCCGTAGGTAGCAAGCTTAGTTCATTTCACTGGAGCCTGGCTTTGTTTTCCTTCTTCTTCTTCATTCTGCTAGGCTCATCCTACATCTGCTAATAGTTGAGGCCATAGATCAGGTTTGGAAAGGCTTTTGAGGGCTTTTAAAGGGCACAATTTTACAAATAAAGGAAACCATTAAATTCTCACGGTCATTCTCCCATATCCCCTCCCCACAATAAAAATTGACAGAGCCTTTATGTGGCAATCCTTCTGTAACAGGACAGGGAGTTCTCAGGGTAGATAAGCCCACTAGCATTCTTAACATGATACACGTGGAAAAACTCTGCAGGTCAGCTACAATTCCTTTTAGCCAGTGTCTCTCCCAGCGAACATGCCCACCAATGATCAAGACATCAGCCTTTTGTTCACACGTCTGTTCTCCTCCTAATGGCTATTTAATTGTTCTCATTAGGATGTACAGGGGAAAGGAGCAGCCATTAGTCTTCTGGATAAAAGGAGAAACACACCCACGGTTATTACTTTGCCAGGCTCAACAAACAACTTTTGATGTGATAACAGCTCTTAAAGGTAGCAGTTAGACACAGCTAGAATTGAAGTGGCAACCCAGGAACAATGTACTTATCTACTGACGGGAACAAACGGCAGTGCTGATTCCATTTAGGTAAATATCTATCCACACAAACACGACGTGTGTATACTTGCGTCTATTAAACATGTAGGTACTAAATGCAAACACAGACTCTTGTTTATACACACACATAGGCTTACCCATACACCTATATTTAGATGACTTCTACGACAAATATTTATCGAGACTACACTGAGGAATGAGGGAGTTGACCATTGAGGGGGAAGGCAAGTTCCCTCTGGAATCTTATATTCAAGTTACAAATGAATAAGCAGAAGGAAGACTATCAGCACTGTGATTATGTAAGTCACTGATACAGAAGCGAGGATACATGTATTACTGTGATTATGTAAATAACTGATACAGAGAGAGGTGCCTTCTGCGAAGGTAGCATCGGGCCTCAGACAAGAAGAAGAAAGAGCTGAGTGCCACAACAGGAGTGTCTGAGGGAGTGGAAGTACCAAGTGTCAAGGCCTGGGAAAACCAGGGGACCAGGAAGGAAGCCAGTCAGAAAGGAAGGAGTGAGCAGTGCTTTGGGATAAGTGGGAGAAGGATTCACGCCACACTTGCTGGCCACGGGGAGGAGTTTGGATATGATTTTAAAGAGTGGTGGGAAGGCATTGGATGGTTTTCAGCAGGGAAGTGACATAATCTAATTAACATTTTTAAAAATAGAAGGCCAAGACTGGAAGTTGGCAGGCCAGTTAAAAGGCTGCTTCAGTCTTCCAACCAAGAGAAGGGAGTGGAAATAATTGAGTGGATGGATTCAAGATAGATGCTACAGGTGGAGCTGCCAGACTCCCTACTTGACTGGATTTTGTAGAAGAGAGAAAAAGAACTGAATGGCCATGTGAATGGTGACGTCATTGAGTAGAACCAGGAAGCCGGCCAAAGGATCACCGGAGGCGATGGGATAGAGACCCTCCCCTTTGCAGACATTAAGTTTGAGACGCTGTTAGCTATCCAAAAAGAGATGTCAAATAGCCTGCTGTGTTCATGGGTCTAGAGCTCAAGGGAGAGGTTAAGGCTGGGTGAGATTACATAGGGAGAGAATCCACCCAGTTCATAACAGGACCAGACATTCAAATACAAGATCAAACAAAGGGACATGGCTTCCCCTTCTCACTGGATGCAGCCCTCACTGGTGAGGTGGTTTTGTTCTACTCTGGCCTGAACTGGCTGGGTCCCTGTGACGGCCCGTTACTGTGCAGGGGAAGCAGCCTCCTGCTGAGGGTGCAGGGGGCTGGTGGAGAAGGGAAAGAAACATAGGTAGTTTCCCAGGTTTACTGTTCTGCTATCTCCCTATACCCAGCACTCTCCCCGTTCAGAGTTTTCAAGCCTCTGGATAGTCCCCACAGCCCTACACTGTCACCAAACCTCCTCTCTGCAAGGCTGAGACCTCTGGTATGACAGCACACGCTCACTAAAAGCCTCATACCTAAGCCATCCATCATGCTCAGCTTCACAAAACCCCCAATGACTATACATCTTATTCCTACAGAATTGTTCCCCCCACGGATCAGAAAGAAAGGGCCAAGAAAAGAACCGCAGTGAGGACCACCTGAGGACACGAGGTGGGGCAAAGCCTTATGCACAGCCCATCTCCTGCTCAGAAGGGTGGAGCCAGAGACCAGACACACACTCCCACCAAGTCAATGACCCTACCCTAGCTATTAGACCAGGAGCTCGAACTTGGGGTTCAGGACAACAGGCATTGGTACCGCTCTGAGTCTCCACTGCCATTTGCCTTTATGATGTTTCCTTAAATCTAAGTGTTTGATTCATCTAGGTAGAAATCTTCTGTCTTGCTATTTTGCCTGGCTCACTCTATGCACCATGCATTACATGCAGCAGCAAAAGCTGGACAAGCCCCCAACTTTCAAATCCACGAGGTAACCCCTGCAGCACTTTGGGAAGATATCGGTCCCTTGCCTTTAGCTCCCTACTCCTCTCCAGTGCTTCCCTGAACAAAACCCATGGTTCGAAGCTGAGCAGCTGCATCCAATGGGCAGTCAGCAGCCAGAAACCCCACTCTCTTTGAGCCCTGGAGAGCATGCCCCTGGTAAGGGCAAAAGCAACTGGTGGGAACTGGCAGGCCGGGAGACTGAAGCAGTTCAGGTGAAATGGGCAGCCCTGCCCATCTCCAATGGAGGAGCAGGCAGGGAGCCTGCCAGGTGTTCGGGGGAACCCGAGGCAGAGAGCAGGTTGCCAGCAATGTCCTCTCACAAAGGTCATGCTTTGCTACATTAGGCAGAAATGTCAAAAGAAAATTGGATTCTGAAAGAAAGAAAATAACAGACACTCTGGGCAAATAAGGAATAAGAAATAGTATTATTGCCTTATTACAAGTTGGAGGAGGGAGGGGTCCTGGGACACCTGTGAAGGGGGAAGTGGGCTTTGGCTCTCCCAGGGCTGTCTTGGCTTCATCTCCCCCTTGCCCCTCCCCTACCCATCAAGCCCCCACCTGGATTCCTCCCCATCTTTGGATGGAGCGGGCTGAAGCACACATGTGCTCTGCCCATAGGCACATACAACCCAGTGCCTGTTTGCAGAGCCTGGAAACTGTATTGCACAAGTCCAGGGAGGAGCGCAGGGTGCACAGCCCTTGCAACTGTACCCGATGCCCTGCCAGACACACAGCAGAAGCACCAAGCCCCAGAAACAAACTTATACAAAAAAGACAAGAAGGCAACCATATACAGAAGGCAAACCACACACATCACGAAGCAAGCAGAGCATGCCTCTGGCCAGCCTGCCCTCACCGGCATTGATGAATTCTCGTGTAAATAAAGAAGCTTTCGCACGAATTGCCACCCACTTGGAACTCACTGCCCCTGATTTTTTCTTCTAACTGGGGCCTCACCTGTATGCACCTGCCATCAGTTATTGATGAGCTGGTTACCCTGCTCATCAGACAAGAATTTAATTAAGAACCATCCTGCCTCTGAGCCCCACAGCAGCCTTTTCCCTGGGCATCCTCCCTAACAGATCCATTATCATCTGTCTCCGACTTTTGCTTGGGTCAATGGCCAGTTTCCAAGCCACCTGACCATTGAATTAATTTGGTGAGCAAGATTTTATGAGATGATGCATTAAATCCATTCCCAAAATCAAGTTCCGTGACACTGCCCCTTCTATCTCTCGCCTGGGACTTCCAAACAAAGCCATTAATTTTGTGCTGCACAACTGGCCCTCTCACAGACCAGACTCTGGGGTCCAGAGGTAATAAACGATGATGATGTGGCTACTGGGTGCTCCGGGAACAAGGAGCCAGACACACAGATGGCTGGACCCTGGGCCCTGAGGAGCAACAGGGCTGAGATGTCACCTCTGGCATTAACCCCATGAAGAACAGGGGTCCTCCCAGGCAACCCCTCCTCTGACCAGTAGAAATGTCGGCACAGTAAGCAGTGCTAAGACCTTCCTAATGGTGGCACCCAACCACGGCAGGCATGGAGCCCACGAATGGGGAGGATTTCACCTTCCACCCCGGGAACCCTACTGTTACAAAAGGGTCAACAAGATGGACCCTGTTGCCAAAAAAACCAGCCAGATGAATCCCTCTGTTGTCCCTCTGGGGGCTGAGAGTTGAGAAGGAGACATTAAGCCCCGTCCGAAAAGTGGTCCTGAAGTTGGAAGGATTTGTGGATCTGGATTAAGAGTGAGCTGACATTTGGAAGCACCTCCTCTTCTACTGATAGAGGCATGGAGGCAGACCAGTGGGCAGGTGTGTCAGGATTTGCATGTGTAAGGGATTAGCGGTGGCAGGTCCTCTGCATCCCGGAGCTATTAAACCAGGCTGTCTCACCTGTGCACTCCCAGGCCAGCTCCCCGATGCTCACTCCACCCTCCATACCTCCTTGGTCCCTCTCACTCCAGTGTTTTCTGTTGTCATGGACTAGATTTCATTCCCTCAAAATTCATTTTTAAAATCCTAACCCAGCTAGGCGAGGTGGCTCACTTATAATACCAGCACGGTGGGAGGCTGAGACGGGTGGATTACCTGAAGTCAGGAGTTTGAGACCAGCCTGGCTAATGTGGTGAAACCACGTCTCTACTAAAAATACAAAAATTATCTGGGCGTGGTGGTGGGTGCCTGTAATCCCAGCTACTTGGGAGGCTGTGACAGTAGAATCGCTTGAAGCCGGGAGGCAGAGGTTGCAGTGAGCCGAGATCGTGCTACTGCACTCCAGCCTGAGCAACAAGACTGAAACTCCATCTCAAAAAAAAAAAAAAAAAATCCTAACCCCCTCCCTTGTGTCTATATTTGGAAATGGGATCGTTAAAAAGCTAATTAAAGTTAAGTGCAGACATATGGGTG